CTAGTGATGCTCCCAAAGGATCGAGCTTGAGCAAAGAGATCAAATCCACTACTGTCGTTGGTGCTAATACTCTCAAAGATGGATCTGATCCCAAGATCTTGTCTGATTCTGATTACCCAGATTGGCTCTGGCATCTTCTCGATAACCGACCTGCGCTTAGCGAACTCAAGAGGAAGAACGTCGAGACTCTTCCCTATGATGATCTCAAACGTTTTGTCAAGCTCGACACTCGAGCCAAAATCAAGGAGAACAACTCTATCAAGGCCAAGAACTGAGATTTTCCCCATTTTACGTTTTTGTAAGATGTTTCTCTCTCTTTCCTCTTTGTCTCTGAACGCTCTTCCTCCTGCTCCTGTTATCAATAAAAATGATACCTTTGGCCTTAATGGACTCTTTGAATCAATGGGATTATCATGCTTGCTTGCTCTTTGTAAAATTGTTTCAGTTAAGCTACATTCCAGAGTCAGTAGTATTATGCTCTTGTGTAAGTTCCTTAGTAAATCCAATAGATTGTTACTTCATCTTACCTGTCTTTGGCTCTTGTCTCTTGTTTAACCAACCGAATGATATGTCTAACACAAATCCTTGCTCTGGATAGAGGAGATAAGTTGGTCGGTTCTTAAAGATACTGAAGGTGTGTTTCTGTTTCATTTAACCATTAGGTTTATTGTTTACTGTAATAGCATTACATGGGGCCTAGAATGTTGATACTGCATCACTATTCTTCTCTAGGTGGTGGATACCAACTCTTGTTGTCTCCTTCTTGTGGGGTTCAATATCTTCAAAAGAAAGGTAAAGCAAAGTTTGCATCATTATCTCCCTTTGTTCTTCTATTATTGCTCTTCTTTGCTTTGATTGTTACTTGTCCTCTGATTTGCTCAGTTACAATTTCATATTGCTTGCTTTGTGTTAATTACCTGTGGTTGCTATCTTGTCAACTTACTGGCTAATCACCGTAACCGAGCAAAACCATCCTCTGTCTTTATGAAAGAAAAGCTCCTTCCAAGTTTCAGTTTTTTGATTAAGGTCTTGTTATGATATTGTATCTGAGGACAAGTGCTACTTACTTATTGCTTTTATGGCTTGTATATGAATCCCATGCCCATGAAAGGTGTATAGAGTTTGAAAAGGAGACACCACTCATCACATGCTTTTATGGGTATAACAAAGCATAAAGCTAACTTTTTCCTCCTCACATGCCTATTTGCCTCTTTTGACACCTTAACCATATCCATTCATTGTTATATTTCTTCATGTTCCGTTTGTATTCCTAATGCTAACGTAATCTTAGGTTTTTTATATGTTAATGGTATAATTATGGAATCTCTACAGAGAGCACGAGGGGGAATAAATTAAAAACGAGTAACGAATTTTGTAGATTTATACAATTTTATCACATTAAGTTTCTTGGATATCCAATTAAATTAGTCCCATGATTCGAGTTGCTTTGGATAATCCACCAACACTCAATTCGATTACATCGACCATCTAAACTCAGCCTTGATATTCTCATAAGCCCTTGGGCTGATAAAGGTCACTTTTTTCCATGTGTCTCCATCATTACAATAAAATCCCTTTTTCACTTTTAAGAATTAGGCATTTCTTATTTTTTCCCCACATTATGTTATTCCGTTTATCTAAAACCATTTTCCTCCCTAATGTTACGCGTTGAACATTTATTCAATTAGAAAAAAATATATATCTAAGATCTTTTTTTTTTTTAATTTAATCCTAGAAATTTGGTAAATGATCCGTGTAATGAAGACATGAGATATTCCAAGTTCGGTTACATATCAATGAGGAGTTTTATATAGACCTCAAGTGCCTTTGCTACGATAAGTCATTTTCATTCTTTATTTATGTATTTAAGTTTCCACTGATATTCTCCGTTCACCATCCCTGACCAATCCTTTCTTCTTCTTCTCTTCTCTTTAGGTTTTGTTCCTTGACCATCAAGAAACCTCTTTGACCTCTGTCTCTTCCTCTGCCTTCTTTCAGTTTCCCAAAACCACAATCCGACCGGTCTCTATGTCTCCGGCTTACTTTCCTCTCCGTTGGGAAAGCACCGGCGATCAGTGGTGGTACGCTACTCCCATTGATTACGCCGCCGCCAACGGCCAGTACGACTTAGTCCGTGAGCTTCTCCGGATAGACTCCAACAACCTCATGAAGCTCACTTCCCTCCGGAGAATTCGCCGTCTCGAGACCGTCTGGGACGACGAATCACAGTTCCACGACGTCGCCGCCTGCAGATCACGCGTCGCTAGAAAACTTTTCGCCGCCTGCGACGAAGGTGGTGGTGCGAGATCCAAGAAAAACACTCTTATCCGGTCTGGTTATGGCGGGTGGTTGATGTACACGGCAGCCTCCGCCGGAGATCTAGGCTTCGTTCGCGATCTCCTCGAGATGAATCCTCTGCTTGTGTTCGGCGAAGGAGAGTACGGCGTTACGGACGTACTCTATGCCGCTGCGAGAAGCAGAAACGACGACGTATTCCGTCTGGTTTATGATTTCGCGGTTAGTCCGAGGTTTGGAACCACCGGCGGTTTTGATCAGGAAGCCGGAGAGATCCCGGCGGCTTACAAAAGGGAGATGAAGAACAGAGCAGTTCACTCTGCTTCTAGAGGAGGCAATTTGATCATTCTCAGAGAGCTTCTGAGTGATTGCTCCGTCGAACAAGTCTTGGCCTTTCGAGACAAACAGGGCTCCACAATCCTCCATGCCGCTGCCGGAAAAGGAAAAACTCAGGTAACTCTCTCTTCGGCCACAACTCCTTTTAACTAAAGCATTCAATAGATAAGCATCATTTGGATTTGGATGTTGATGCAGGTGGTTAAAGAGCTTGTGGCTTCCTACGGTGGTTTAATGGGAGCCGTAGACAACCAAGGGAATACGGCTTTGCACGTTGCAGCCTACCGTGGCCATGCTGATCTTGTGGAAGCTCTGATCTCGGCCTCTCCGTCTTTGATCTCCGCAAGAAACAACGCCGGTGATACTTTCCTACACGCCGGAATCTCTGGTTTCCAGACTCCGGCGTTCGAGAGGCTTGACAAGCACACGGAGCTCATGAACCGTCTGATCACATCCGCTGCCTCAAGATCAGCTGGAGATGTCGTGAATTATAGGAACAAGGAGGGACGTACGGCTCTACACTTGGCAATCTCCGGGAATGTTCCTCTTGAGTTGGTTGAGATGCTCATGTCTGTCAAATCGATTGATATTAATATAAGGGATTCCTCTGGTATGACTCCGCTTGACCTCATCAGGCAGAAGCCGCAGTCTCCGACGTCGGATCTCCTTTTCCGACGGTTGGTATCAGCCGGAGGGATGTTCAGCTCTCGTGATCATAGCATCACAAGCGTGGTTGCGTCTCACTTGAAAGACAGAGGAAGCTTTTACAGCCCTGGAGCTCGTTTCAGGACATCAGACGCTGAGATCTTCCTGAGCGCCGGAGTTGAAGTTGTGCCTGACAAGACTGGTTCTGTTGTTTTCCCTCGACACGTCAGATCAAGCTCCTGTTCCATTGAGATTGGTCAGGTACATGTGACGACGGATGAGAATCATCATCTCAAGAAATGCAGAAACTCTTCCTCTGTTAACTCTGCAACAGAGAGATTGAAAAGCGTTTTCCACTGGCCGCGGATCAAGAAACAACCTGGACATTCCAAGAACGTTTGTGAGATCAGCATCGCTGCTTCGATGACAGCTCTTGAGACGCAAGAAGAAGCTCCTGTGCCTCTCCGACAGAGATTCTCAAAAAGCAGCACTCCGTCTCCTGCTCTGCCTAACAATAACAAAAGAGCATTAGCAGTAAGAAGTAACCAGTCGAGTCCAAGAGCCAAGAAGAAACGGTTTGGACCTGTGCGGTCTCGTTCGAGCTCTTTTTCGAAAATATCGATCCATTCTTCTTCCACATCTTCATCATCGAGCATGGTTGATCTTAAGCAGAAGGGAGTGTTGATGGACACGAGCATAGCTGGACCGTCTGGCTTGAACCGCCCTGAGGTCATGGAGCCGGTGATCAAAAGCAAGTCAAGCGAGAAGCAAGGTTCGGTGAGGAGGAGATTGAAGAGCCATTACTTCTGCTTTGGTGCTTCAGCTTTGTCTGTGAAAACGCCGGTTACGGTCATGATATAACCGGGAAATCGGATTGACAAGTGAGAAGAGGCAAAAGGAATAGTCTAGATTGCTTTCTATGAAATGTATGTAGTGTTAAGTGGACTGTGTCCTGAACATAGACCGATTCATCGATTTTACAGCCACTTGTAACTAGTTATCGATGTAAACTTGATTAATCTTTTCTATCCTTTGACTTGAAGAAAAGATTATTCTTCTCAATTGTGAGATAAAAGTCATATACAGCCAACGACCATTTCAATGCAAATAAACGAATTGGAGCAACACTGGAAAACTTGCAGGTAATTTCGAAATAAAAGATCATTCAAGGCAAATTGGCACTAGCCAATAACATCCTCAGCGAGGTCAACGTCAACTATCAATCTCTGTCTCTCTTTGCATATAACAACATTTGGAACCACCCCACACAGATTGCCTCAAAACATTCCTAAGTTTGCAATGATGAAGAACCCAAGTGCATCAATTCAGATCCAAAACCAAGATCTTGTGGAGGTATGCTCTTTCATGGTTTTTATATATAGATACTTGTTGTCACACAGTAAGATGAATTTAGAAACCCTGGTCTTGAAAAGTGTTTCCCTTTTTGATGTAATCTTAAGATGGGAAATTTGGAGACTTGATTAGAATTCTGAGATACTTACTTACTTACTTACAGGACCAATCATTTGACCTGGAAGATTGGCTTCCAATCACAGCATCAAGAAATGCCAATTGGTACTACTCTGCTTTCCACAACGTGACTGCCATAGTTGGTGCNGGAGTTCTTGCTCTCCCTTACGCCATGTCAGAGCTCGGATGGTATACCTGAAAATTTCAGAAAATAGGTTTCTAGAATTTGCAGCTTCATTTGATTCTCTTTTGTTTCCAGGGGACCTGGGGTTGTGGTGTTGATCCTGTCATGGCTCATCACATTATACACACTCTGGCAAATGATTGAGATGCACGAGATGTTCGAAGGGCAACGGTTTGATAGGTACCATGAGCTGGGTCAGGCAGCCTTTGGGAAAAAGCTTGGTTTGTACATCGTGGTGCCGCTACAACTATCTGTTGAAATCAGTGTGTGCATAGTCTATATGGTGACAGGAGGTAAATCCCTGAAGAATGTACATGACCTTGCTGTTGGACATGGCAAGTGCACAAAGATGACAATCACACACTTCATTTTGATCTTTGCCTCTTCCCAGTTTGTTTTTTCCCTTCTTAAGAACTTCAACTCCATTTCTGGCGTCTCCTTGGTAGCTGCAGTCATGTCAGTGAGGTAATAAAGCCCTCTCCAATCTTGTGCCAACATAACAATAACATGGAGAAGAAATGAATGGTTATCTCTTTCCTACAGCTATTCCACAATTGCTTGGGTAGCCTCAGTGAGCAAGGGTGCCACGGAGAATGTAGAGTACGGGTATAGCAAGAAAAGAACGACCTCAGAGCTGTTTGCCTTCTTAAGTGCACTGGGGGAGATGGCTTTCGCGTACGCTGGCCATAACGTTGTTTTAGAGATTCAAGCAACGATCCCATCAACACCTGAGAACCCATCAAAAAGACCCATGTGGAAGGGAGCCATTGTAGCCTATATCATTGTAGCTGTTTGCTACTTCCCTGTGGCTCTTGCAGGTTTTCATACCTTTGGAGACAATGTCCAAGAGAACATCCTCGAATCACTCACAAAACCCAGGGCACTTGTCATTGTGGCCAACATGTTTGTGGTCATACACATGCTGGGAAGCTACCAGGTATAACTGACTAACCAAACACAAACCCGCCTTATTAATTTGGTGTGTTTCTGGTTGTCTAGGTGTATGCAATGTCTGTGTTTGACATGATCGAATCTGTAATGATAAAGAAATGGCACTTCAGTCCAACAAGAGTTTTACGGTTTAGCATCCGGTGGACTTTTGTGGGTAAGTCTAACATGATTGATTTGCATACCAAGAAAGTAGTAAATTCACATATTTTGATGACTCACTTACCTCTCCTACATTGCAGCCGCCACGATGGGTATCGCAGTGAGATTACCATATTTCAGTGCACTGCTGTCGTTTTTTGGGGGATTTGTGCTTGCCCCGACCACATACTTTGTAAGCGGAAAACTGCTCCTATCCTAAACCAATCAACATGGTATTAACAATGACAAAG